CTGTCTTGGTTACTTTTCTCTTGTTGCTGGGACAAAATACTTCATGCCCAAAATTAAGGAAGGAAATGTTTATTTTGCTTACAGTTTGTGGAGGTTTCAGTTCATACTTGGCAGGTTACAAGGCAGAGTGGCACATGGCAGAGGGCTACAGCTCATGGTGGCAGAACACAGCAAAAGCAACAAGCACACACATGGGAGGAATGACCCCAAGCAGCCTCTTCCTCTCCCTTACATATGCAAACTCTCTACCCCAAGGTGGGTGTAGCTCTCACACCCATAATCAATCAAACTCTAAAGGCCTGCCCCATGACTGCATGAGGCTTTGGGGGGACACACAGACACAAACCGTAACATAGCCACTTTCACATGTTGTAGCAGAGCTTTTGTGCCTTCCCAGCAGGCAGCTTGGGTGTCACTAACTGGAAGAAGATCATCAACATATTGGAGGAGGGTGCAGTGATATTCTGTACTGGGGAAACTACCGAGGTCACCCATGAGGGCTTCTCCAGAGAGGGTAAGGGAGGGCTGGGAATTTAGCTCAGCAGCACAGCGCCTGTCTGGCAAGTACAAGGTCGTGAGTTTGATTCCCGGTACCGGAAAAACAAAACAAAACAAAACAAAAAACCAAAAAACCAAAGAGGGTAAGGTGAGGTTTAGAATTCCTGGGGAAGCCGAGTCCAGGTCAGTTGACTTTTGAGTCCAGAACTGGGGTCTTCCCATTCAAAGGCAAAGGGGCTGGCTGACAGGAGCCAGTCGAAGGCAGAAGAAGGCATCCGTAGGTCCAGGCTGGTGCACCAGCAGGCTGTGGGTGTCAGAAGACTGAGGAGAGCATATGGGTTTGAGTTTTCAGGATGGAGGGCAGCTACAGCAGCACTGACAGCTCAAAGATCCTGAACCGAATGGTATTTCCCGCTGGGTTTCTTTACAGTCAGGAGAGGTGCGTTCCAGGGTGAAGGACAGTCTATGGGTGTTCCACAGTTCTAAAGCCTCTGGATGTGTGGTTGAATTTCTAGTCATCTTTCATGGCATGGGGTGCTGTTTGGTGCAGGTGGGGGTTGCCCCAGGATGGAGTTTCACAGTCAGAGGCAGGTAGTTGACGGCCGGCCCAGGTGGGGAGTCTTTAGCCCAAACTCAGGGAAAGAGAGTCTTGAGAATGTCTGGGTTAGTTTTATCTGTGTGTATCCGTCAATCATTGTTCTTCTTGGGGGACCATGACAGCAAGCAGGAAATGTGGTTGTGGAGCAGGGAGGGACAGAGTAGCCGACTGTCCCGGAGAGAAGGTGGTGGTGGTCTCTAAGGTAGATATGATGTCTCTTCCCAGGAGTGGGACTGGACACTCTGGCAAGTAAAGGAACTCATGTGTGCTTTGACATCCTCCCAGGCTCTAAGTTCACGCCTGGCAGAAGGGGCAAGAGGCAGGAGTCCCAGTTGCCCTGGTGATGGTAACCTTTTTTTTTTTTAAAGGAGCAGTACACCTTGGGTAACTACAGAGTGTTCTGTTCTACTGTCTACCAGCAAACTCATAGGTTGGCTCCCAATATGGATGTGGACCGTGAGCTCCCAGCGGCCCAGCTGAAGAAGGGAGTCCGGTCTGACCTAGTCTGAGCCCGTCAGACTGATGAAAGGATTGTCGTCTAATCCAGATTGGGGCCTTTGAGAATCCTTACCTTTTAGTCTGAGTGAGCATTTATTCTTTCACCGTCCATAGCCCTTACATCTTGCACACTGGTCTTTGGCCACAGGGTATGGTCGTCTACCAGACTGTGCCAATGAAGGCTGCATCTACCATCTGTAGATTTCCTGGGGCCCCGGGGTCCAAAGGAGTGTAGCCCCTGTGGGCTTCACAGAGCGTCTCATAAAAGTCTGACGGACTTTCATCAGGCTTCTGGGTAACAGCAACTTTTGACAGGTTGATGGGCTTTTTGCCCCTGCCTCTGACGCCTTTGAGAAGGGTTTGATGCTATCTCTGGATTGCTTTGTCTCCTGCTGGGGGTGTTGTGATCCCAGACGGGGTGACTTTTGGGAAAGGCTGTAGCAAACCGTCCATCAGGGTTGACAGTCCATGGGAGCACCTTTCCCTTTAATCAATTTTTTTTTTTTTTTTGCCTCATTCAAAGTGTGGTGATGCTTCCGTGTTGAAGTCCAGAGATGCTGACAGTCATCCTCAGTGGGCACTGGATGGCGATCTGACGGGGACAAGGGTGTCAGGCCAGCTGTAAAGCAAAGGGGGGCCTCTGTGGCTGAACACAATGACTGCTTCGCCTCTGTAGCTGGGGTGGACAGGCAGGTCAGCATGGTCTCAGTTGAACCGGGGGAGCGCTGGGAGCTGGTGAGTCCGGAACAGGACTGGCAGCTGGAAGTGGACGAGTCATGAGCGGAGGACGGGGGCTGGCTGGGGGAACTGTAGGAGCTGGCAGCAGCTGTAGCGGCCAGTAAGGAGTGCTACATCTGCCACGGAGGAACACTCAGGAAGGATGGGTAGCCGGGCGTGGTGGCGCACGCCTGTAATCCCAGCACTCGGGAGGCTGAGGCAGGAGGATCACTGCGAGTTCGAGGACAGCTGGGGCTACACATTGAGTTAAAAGCCCAGCTCGAACTACACAGCAAGACCAGCTCTCAAAAAAAAAAAAAAAAAAAAAAAAAAAAAAGAAAGCATTCAAGAAATAGCAGTTTACAATTCCATTTTACAGAATACAAAATTGACTTCTGTGTTTGACCTACATTTTCATAATATGAAAGAGGTGGAAGGAACCTAGGAAACACATTTTAAAAATACTATCTGGCAGTAAAATGATTTACCAGGGATTGCCTTTCTTTTACTTGAAGAGACTTTTCTCATCACGGGAGGGCATAACATTAAAGCACAGATTGCCAAAGTAACAGAGCGTGAGACTTGACTCAAGAAGGTAAGTTTGAGGTTGTGGCTTAAAAAAAATTACTATTACATTTTCTTACAAAAACTCCCAGCTTTTGGCAGCCAGGAGTATATTTGGTGCTCCAGAATCTAAGGTCTAATAAACCCTCTGGCTCAGATGGGAACTTGCAGCAATTAATCATAGTGATTACAGTTTCAACTGAGACGTTAAAACGTTCCAAAGTTGCAGAGAGTCACGGGCCGGCAGTCGCAGGCTAATCTAGAGCTCTAGGAATGAGAGAGTTTCAAAATCTTTAAAAAAATCTTCAGATAAGATGCTGTCACTTCTGGTTTATTTTCCCCTGAGTCTTTTCGGCGGTTACAGCCTGGGTGAAGTGTGTATTTTCAGGTGCTGTAGTTACAAGCCTTCCCATTTTGGAAACTGAGTTTTAAGGATTACCATTTATGAAGAACCTTTCTTGCTGTGCTTATTTTAGAAATTTGTAGCAGGACTATTTTTTTTTTAAATTTTTTTTTTTTTGTCTTTTTGAGACAGGTTCTTGCTATGCAGTTCAGGCTGGCCTTGAGCTCACTTTGTAGCCCAGGCTGGTCTTGAACTGGCAACCATCCTCCTGCCTCAGCCTCCCGAGTGCTGGGATTACCGGCGTGCACCACTGCGCCCGGCTCACAGAACTATGTTTTTAGTGTAATTACTTTATCTCAGATTGCTGGTGCTTGCTATGGAAAGTAATATTTCATTGATTGTCTTCTTCTGATCATATCAAATTGAATATGAAAACAACACTTTAAAAGCCTCAAATTGTTCATTGTTTTTCAGGTACACATACGGGAAGCCAGTCAAAGGAGATGTAACAGTTACATTTTTACCTCTATCAGTTTGGGGAGAGAAGAAAAATATTACAAAAACATTTAAGGTAACTTTGGCAGATACTTTTAAACTTGCAATGGGGAAAATTCAAGTGTATTTTTTTAGGAGTAAGGTTTTGTACTGAATTGATAAAAACTGAATGGAAGAAAATCAAGAGTTTTGCGGAATTGGATGAGGTAGAATTTACCCACTTAGAATGATTAACATGGAGACAGAGATGTCATAGGACTAGGACTTACGGTAGTTTTGCTTCTAGAATTTGAATTGCTGAAGTGAAAAATAAAATTGAACTTTTGAACAAAACAGATAAATGGATCTGCAAACTTCTCTTTTAATGATGAAGAAATGAAAAAGGTAATGGATTTTTCAGTTGGGCATTCTGAGCACATGGATCTGTCCACCCCGGGACCAGTAGAAATTCTAGCTACAGTGACAGAATCACTTACAGGTTTGTAGACCTTACAGTGAGAGGTAAAGCTGTTTGTGTGCTGCGTCCTGCCATCTCTCCTGCTACTGCTGGTGCTTTTCGTTTGGCGGCATTTGCTGCCTTTGTAAAGATGCCATTTAATGTTGACATCGCCATGAATATTAATTCCTCTAATTTGTAGGATGTTTTCCTAAAAAAAGTGCAACGAATTTTCTATGAAAGCCTATACTTCAATCACACATGATAGCTATTTGTAATTCTTTTTTTTCATCTTTTTGAGACAGGGTCTTGCAATGTAGTTCAGGCTGGCCTTGAGCTCACTTTGTAGCCCAGGTTGGCCTAGAACTCTCAGGGATCCTCCTGCCTCAGCCTCCCGAGTGCTGAGATTACAGGCGTCCGCCACCACGCCCGGCTTTTTTTCTGTTTCTATTCTTTTCTCACCACAAACCACGTAGAAAGGCCTAGGTTTTCGTTGGCTGTCTTCTTTCTTATATAATCACTTAACGTAGTCTGAAGTCTCATCTGCTCCTTTTTTTCAGTACTGATGATTGAACTGAAAGAGTGAACTGAGCTATGTGCCTAGACCTTTGTATTTTCAGCCTGGGTCTTGCTAAGTTGTTCAGGCTGCCCTCATACTTGGAATCTGCTTGCCTTAGCCTATCCAGTGTGTGCCACCATGCCTGGCTGGTGTTCTCTCTCTCTTTCTTTTTTTGTCTTTTTGAGACAGGGTCTCACTATGCAGTTCAGGTTGGCCTTGAGCTCACTTTCTCACAAGGATCCCCCTGCCTCAGCCTCCCGAATGCTGGGATCACAGGCGTGCACCACCAGGCCCAGCCAGTTTTCTCTTATAATAAGAAAACAAAAGTTAATTATTTGGACTTTTCCGTTACTGTGTCAGCAGCTTTAACCAACTACTAAAAGAGCAACAGGGTATTCTGTCAGTTGTTCTCCTGTGCTGGAACAAACATCACTGAGGGAAGCCGGCAGTTGTGGTGCTACAGGAGCTGCAGGGAACGCAGTAGAAATGTGTGGTTCTCTTAGTGTCAAAGCCGTTACGGAAACGAGGCTTATGTGCCTGAGACCTTAAACCCCTCTGGCTTGGAGAGATTTGCTGGATGAAGGTTGTCAGTGTATAGTTAGTTTCTGTATGAGGCGACAGGTCTTGAGAACGAGGGGCGGTGGCTGAAAAGAAAAACGAGAGACAAAGTTATGGGGTGGGGGAGCACAGCCTCTAGGACTGAAGCCTCTATTACAGTTTTCTTTAGCCTCTTATTGGGACACAAACAAAAAGCAGCAACCGGGGACATGGGAGGAATCATGAACAAGATTAGCACAGCTTAATTACCACAGGAACTCGACTTTGACTTGGCCAGCCATCATGCCATCATTCCCCAAGACGTATCTCAGCAGAGCATCTAGGGCTGTCCTAGCAGCTTTCCACAGGGACACAGGTCCTGCTTTCATTTCCTCTTACACTAATGCTTTCGCTAGACTTCCTCCAGAAACAGTCGTATGGCTTGCTCAGGCTCAGAGTCCCACGTAGGTAATGCATTGAAAGGTAAACTATGGAATGTTCTTCTGTACGGAAGATCTTGGTGAAACATTACTTTTGTATTCTAAATTGTGCAATTCCCCAAATAGCCGTCTCAAGAAATGCCAGCGCCAATGTGTTTTTCAAGCAACACGATTACATCATTGAATTTTTCAATTATGCCGCCGTCTTGAAGCCAACTCTCAACTTCACAGCCACTGTAAGTTATTGCATTTATTATTGGTCCATATTGCCCCAGTTCACTTACTAAGACAAAATGGAAAATAGTATTTTCAGTGCTTTTCTAAAAATTTTAAGTCAAAAAGTAAATAGATTACCTTTTGTCTTTAGGGGTGTGAGGTGTAGAGAATTGTTTTCAAGTGACCTTTGTCTAGTTTTTGTTAGGTTTGGCACCAGATAGAGCAAGAGACGGAGACAGATAAAACAACCTTTATTGCTGGCACGGGAAGGCTGCAGGAGACTGCAAGGACCCTTGGAAGAGGGAGCTGGGGGTGGGTTTTAGTAGACGGGACTAGAGGTAGAGTTAATATGGGCAGGCTATGTGTCGTATCTCAAAGGGATTTGTAGTTAGTTGGTGCATGCAGAAAAGGGAGTAGAAAGTTTATCTTGGGGTCTGAAGAAGAACAAAGAAGTGTGTGTCCTGGCCAGCGCCATTTTTGGGATTCTGGATGTCTATCAGTTTTCCTACAAACGTTGTTCCTAATGATAATAAAAATATTTTAGTGTACATTTATTTAAACAGCGATTTGTTAGATGTGGATTGGTACGCAGAATTTTTTGTTAATTGAAGGAGTTGGGTGGTGGTCAAAACTTTGAATTAAAATTTGGGTTTTATGACTAATTTTAGTCTTAGCAAATACGTAAGGGTAAAAATTATCAACACATCTACTTTCTTCCCCTCAAGCATGTTGGATTAACATTTAGTACTTGGGTGAATTTTGGCCAGGTGGAAGGCCTGAGCTTATGGACTGAGAAGGACTGAGTCTTGATCCAGGAGTTATGGTTTTGGTGGTGAGGATAAAAAAGTATTTGCAGAACTGTAACTGTCATGAATTCATTTCTATAGGTATTTAAAACAGTTTTTTTTTGCAAAGGAGTAGATGGTAAACATTTCCATCTTTAGAGGCCATGTTCTCTGTTGCCATGACCCCGCTTTGTCATGGTAGCGTGTAAGTAGCCATGACAAATGTGTAGATAAATGAAAATGGCTATGTTCCAATAAAACTTTATTTACAAAAACATTGGGTTGGCAGGCTTACTTGCTGTAGCTGGCTGATCTTTGATTTAATGAAAGAAAGGGGCCACTTCTTATGGAATGTGCAAAGAGAAATTTTAAGTCGTTCTCTACTTCGGTGATCTTGATTTACACAGGCTGCCAAGAGTCATTTCCTGATGAGTAGAGTCAAACAATGGGAGTTCAATGAGGGAGAGTTGATTCTTGGATAGAGAGGGGGATTACTACAGAAGAGGAAGCTCTGAAGTGTTTGTGTGAAGATTGGTAGGGTTTAAATATTTGGGCGTGGGGTTAGGAGATGGGGAGTAAAGTGAGCTGGGACCGGAAGCGAGTGCTCGGGTAGGCAAGCTCAGGTTCTGCTAAGATGACGGTAACCGGACAGTTGTTGTGGCCGCTGAGGGCTGGTGCTGGGGAGTGATCCATCCGGAGGTGAAGCTTGGAGAGGTGTAGAGGACCCTAAACTCCCCACAAAGGGGTCTGAACTTTATGCTCTGTGCGGGGAGAAACGCAGAAGCCTTGTGAACATGGGAGGAATATGCTGTTTGGGAAAGATTGATCGCAAGAGGGAGGGTAGCAGCCGCGGGGCCATGAGGCACGGGCAGCCTTGAGGTGATGGCTGTGTGCATGGAGAGGAGGGAGTGAGATATACGGGTAGTGTAGGAAAAGGGAGGGAAAATTCACAGAGAGAGAGAGAGGTAGAACTATGAGGTTACCAGAGACGGGAGCGGCAGATGGTTGTTTAGTGTTAGGTGTGCAGACTTTGAGGTGCTTGGGCATCCATGGAAATTTTTCCTGCACAGTTGCAGGCATTGGGTCTGCACTCCAGAGTGAGGTAAGGACGGAGATTTTGGCTCTGGGGTATAATTGCAAAGAGATAAACGAAGTCATGGGAATGACAAGAGAGAAAAGGAAGAGAGAAAAGTGGAGAACTGCTTCTTTGACCTTGACAGTTTCCTACATTCAAAGAGAGTGAAGAAGAACCACAAAGGACACCGAGAAGGTGCGGGGGGGAGGTGTGAGTGTAGGGTGTCATGATGGGCCACGGAAGCGAGGAAGCTGCGCTATTAAGAAGGCGGTGATTGTGGCTCTGGGGCCCCCTGGCGAGGACCACTGACGGTGGACATCAGAATGCTGCTGGGAATTGCTGAGGGTGATTTCACGGGAGTAGTGCGATGGAAACTGGATTCAGCCGAGCTTAAACCCACTGCTTGTTACTTGTTTTTAAAACACCCTCTTTTGGCAATCAGGTGAAGGTTACCCGTTCTGATGGCAGCCAACTGAATGAGGAAGAAAGAAGGAATAATGTCATCATAGCAGCGATACAGAGAAACAAGACCAATCTCTGGAGCAGGTGGAACAGTGAAAACGAAGGAATGGCAGTGTCTCATGTCACAAATCACACTGTCCCCCCGGATGGAGTCTTTAAGATTGAGTTCCCAATCCTGGACAGTACCAGGCAGCTACAAGTGAAGGTGCCGCCTGTTACTCACGTCGCGTTCCGCCACCCCACCCTTGCAGTTGTGCCAGGCGTTCAGCCTGTCAGAGCTCCGTGTGGAGCAAGTGCAGATGTGTTTTCATTTTTTAAAAATGGGAGAGAGCGTTAGAAGGAATTTAACGACAGTGGTGGGAATGCTTCCTTGTCCGTTCGTTCTGGAGAGCACAATAAAATACAGCAGTGTGAAGGCAGAGCAGAGAGGCTCCTGAAACCCTCGTCTAGGTTGGTTTCTTGTCCCGGCCTGTGGGTACAGTCAACGTGAACCCTAGAGGGGGAGTGGGGATTATAAAGGGACAAGAGACACGAAGAATGGAGACAAGACAGTGCTCTGATCAAGTCTCGTTTATTAGCGGGAAGTGTTGTGCTTATATACGGCACGGAGAAACGCGCAAGTTCTAAGGCGGGAATAACCAAATAACCCGACAAAGGCGGGAGTAACTAGGTAACGGTGGGTAGTCCTAGTTCTTGAGGCGGGAGTAGCTAGACAACGGTAGGCAGTCCTGACTTAAAGGGAAAGGCGCGTAAGACAGCTACTAATATACAATGGAGGTCAGTCTCAGTCTCCTACAGTTTCTCAGTCATTGGCGATTTTATTCTGACTGGAGCTGAGAGGCAAGAGGAACTAGGTATCTTTTTACACCCTTTTGAGCTGCCTTTCCTAGAGTGGCTCATCTGAGAAGCTTAACCTTTCATGCACCCTGTCCTTTGGACATTCAGCCCTGCCCTAGTCAGGGCCTGGCTAAGCATGCTGTGTACAGGGGTAGCCTCGGATTTATTTATTTTTTTTTGTGCAGGGCCTTGGATATGCTAAGCAAGTGCTCTGACACTAAGCTGCATCCCCTAAGCCTTTTTATTTAACTTTTCTGCTGTTTTATTTTGAGACAGTGTAACTGTGCTGCTCAGTTCCCCAGGCAGGGTTGAGCTTGTGATTCTCCTGCTCTGCCTCTTGAGCATTTTGAGCTATGGGACTACGCAGCTGCGGCCAGCTGCACAGCTGCGTCTAGCTTGGTTTCCACTCGGAATCTTGGTGGATCCAGTGGAGGTGGTTTGATTTCTCGCCTTTATCTGAGCTGCCTATCATAGAGAGACGGGAAGCCTCTTTGCTGAAGTGTTTATTTTTTTCCTTTGTTTTTCTTTTGGTACTGTGACTCGAACTCACGAAATTGTGCTTGCCAGGCAGGTGCTGTGCTGCTGAGCTAAATCTCCAGCCCCTGAAGTGTTTCTTTCTTTCTTTCTTTTTTTTTTTTGGTCTTTTTGAGACAGGGTCTCGCTATGCAGTTCAGGCTGGCCTTGAGCTCACCTTGTAGCCCAGGCTGGTCTTGAACTCACAGCGATCCTCCTGTCTCAGCTTCCTGAGTGCTGGGATTACAAGTGTTTCTTGATAAAATGCCCTTGCTTCTGATGTGCACTGGGGTGGTGCTTTTTCCCTGTAGGTTATGATGGTGAAGACCTTGTCTCATGTTTTTAAACAACTAGATTCCTTACAAGATAAGGTATAAAAGGATGAAGAACCAGGGTTGGGCAAATGTAAACGTGGGAAAAAAAGTGAATTTGGCTTTCGGTAACTGCTCATCAGGTTACTGAAAGGTTTCCTCAAAGTCGAGGCTGGGAATTTATCGCTGTCTTCCTTTTGTCACAGGCCTCTTTTCTTGATAGTGAAGGTAGCATGGAAGTCCACGGCATGTTCACATCCCCTAGTAGGACATACATCCAGCTAAAGACAAGAGATGAAAATATAAAGGTAACGCTTACCGCTGTCTTGATAACTGCGATGTGATGGCACTCTCAGTGTAATTAATATGCGCATGTTAATTAAGATTCGTTGCTTTTTTAGGTTGGATCCCCTTTTGAGTTGGTGGTTAGTGGCAACAAGCAACTGAAGGAATTTAGCTATATGGTAATCTCTTCTAGAATTTAAATTTACAGTCTATTACAGAATCATCTTAAGTGATGTCTAACTTATGTCTGTGTTAAACTTACTTTTTTGATTTTAGCCTGTCCTTATACTGCAATAAAATATCTTTTTTTTTTTTACTTGTATTTGCATTTCTAGTTAAAAATAGGTAATTCCCATCGGGTTAAATAACTCTTAGTTATTGTGGGCTGATCAGACCCGCAATCTCCCAAGCGAGTGGATGGCGAAGGCTTAAATAAATGAGACAATGGAAATTTCTGGGCTTCAAGAGGGTCTCCCTCTCTTACAGCTTTGATATTCTCTGAGTTTAGCCAAAGACTTCTCTGGGCAGCCCGTATTTATTAGGTTTTCAGACAAAGGAGGAGGATACTCAAGAAAATGTGGGAATCTGGCAGGACCTTGGGAGAATTTTCCCAAGTAGTAAATTATGTCAATCAGGAGAGCTACCCTATCTTTAGGTTGGCATTTATTGTAGGAGTGTGGGGCCTGCAGCTGCAGTCTCCTCTTAGTTAATTGGGGTTGGAGCCAGATGTCCTCAGCTGTGGCCTTTTCTTGTCCTTTGAGGCATCACAGTTTCACAATCCTCAGGTGACCAGGGACTCACAGAGGTTCACTTACTATGAGACCTCTGCCCATCTCTAGACCAGGGGCCTAAGCTTCAGACAACTCACAAGTAAACACAGAAAGCCAATTGGTTAATATTAAATCCTGCTCAGAGCCACTTTGTAGTGGTTCCCCGACAAATTACATTTGCATTATGCTTAAAATTTAAATTTCTATTAAATGAGCAACATCCTTTCATTGTGTGGAAAATTAGACAATATGAGGAAAAAATAATTGTCACCATGGCCTTGTAATTTTGCTAATCCAGCTGCCTTAGTGGAGTCCTGTATTCCTCCCAGTCAAACACAGATCCCTTCCCAACACAAAGCAGCAATAAATACTTGAGGGGATGTGGTGGTTAAATCTCAAGTGTCTGAAATGTCCCTCGGAAGTCTCATGTTTTAGAAGGTGGGGGCTGGTTGGAAGTGATCACTGGAGGGAGGTGTGACCTGGCAGAGTGGATCCTTGTCCTTGGTTCTTCCCTCTGCTTTCTGGCTGCCATGGATCGGCAGCTGTGCTCCACTCTGCCTTTCCACCATGCCCTTTCCGATTTAGAGCCAGCCAACCATAGACTGAACCATGAGCCAAAGTAACCCTCTCCTTGATAATTTCCTACCACTTTGTCTGTAATTTGGTAAGCCCCCCCTATTATTATGTTATCCTTCTTTTACTCTTTAAAATAAAATAAAAAAATAAGAATAAAAAAATAAAAAAAAGGCTTTGAATTGCTTTAAGTCAAGAAGCTGGGTATATGCTTAAAAGTATGACAAATGAGGTGGAGATGGACATACAAAGAATTAATGTGTTATGTACACACACTAGCTCCCCACAATGAATGTAATCATTATGTACTGCAAATGTGTACTAATAAACACATATGATAAATGTAACTTCAGTGGAGATCTTACTAGCTTTAGCAAAAAAGAAATTAAACTCATCTAGTATTTTTTTTCAGGTGGTATCCAGGGGACAATTGGTGGCTGTAGGCAAACAAAATTCGACAACCTTCTCATTAACACCAGAAAGTTCTTGGGCTCCAAAGGCCTGTATAATTGTGTATTATATTGAAAATGATGGAGAAATTATAAATGATGTTCTAAAAATTCCTGTTCAGCTCGTTTTTAAAAATGAGGTAAGATTTAAAGTGATAATATTTAAAAGGAAACTTAATAGTGCATTCTAAGAAATGTAGTATTTTGTTACAAAAGGATCATTAAATCAAATTGTTTGAAAATTTATTATATTCCCCTCTAGAGCTATGGACAAAGGATAAAACTCATCATATTTAGTTGCTGCAATTGTATTTTCTTTTCTTTTTTTTTTTTTTTCCAGTACTGGGAATCGAACTCACGACCTTGTGCTTGCCAGGCAGGCACTGTGCCGCTGAGCTAAATCCCCAGCTCCTGCAAATGTATTTTCACATGCAGAATTATTGGAACCTTTGGGTCTCAACTGGAAGATACGGTTCATGGTGTTAAGATTTAATGCAAATCCACGAAGCCCTTTCAGGACTTTTCATAGCGTTAGCCAGTATTGGTTTGGTGTGGGATGCAGAGCCAGGCTGGGACTTGTGTGGTGTTACCCCGGCCGGAGAGTGAGCAGACAGGTGTGGGAGGGAGGGAGCCGGTCTGAGAGGATGTGAGGGATCAGGGCTGGCACAGTGTATCTGTTTCTTCTGCTGGAAGCTAACTGGGACAAGTTTCAGTGAGCTTGGTTGCCTTGTGTGTGAGGAGTTGTACGGAGTCTGGTCTCCAAACACACCGGGGCTTCTCGTAGTCTTAAGTAACCAGCTTGTGAAGGAGACTGCCCTAGACCTCCAGCCAGAAAGAATGTTACTGACTTGTCTGATGTATACCAGAGTGAATCACTGAATTCATTAAAATTTGTGACCTTTCAGGGTCTCTTAGGTAACATAATCATTGTTTTAAAATAGTGATTTGTGGAGTATAGTTCTTCTAGTATTCATTTTTAAACCCTATAACACTAGTTTGTTAAAATGTGATGTAGTATCAGCTAGCTACACTTTCTTTTGTTGAGAATTTTTAATCCTATTTTCTTTCAAAGTGCTGGAGATCCGATCCAGGACCTTGTATATGCTCAGCCAGTGCCCTGCCACTGAGCTGGCCCCCAGCCCTTATTAACCCTAACTTTTTCCAAATACTATAATATAAACTTCTTTTCCTTTTTTTTTTTTTTTTGTACTGGGAATCAAACTCACAACCTTGTGCTTGCCAGGCAGGTGCTATGCCACTGAGCTGTATCCCAGGCCCTATAATAGAAACTTCTATTTTTTGTTTTATGAAAAGGTTTTTTTTTTTTAAAGAAGAGGATATTATATTTTGTTAGTTCCAGAGCTTGTAGTTTTGGACTTGTAGTGATCATAAAATCACCTGGTGAAGGTGAATTTTAAAAAAGGAGTCCTGGGGGCTTCAGCAAGGCGACATCTCTCAGACTGAGACCAGGCTGTCGAGGAGCAGTGTATAAGATCAGCGACATTGAAAAATCAGAGGGCATCTCTAGTGTCTTTTCAAGAAATTTCTTAGATATAGGGGATAAGAAATTGTTTTAATTGTTTGTAAAGATATATCTTCATATTTTTGGATCCCAATTATGACATTTACAGAGAAACTGCATACATGGAAACGCAATGTGTTTAAGCAAGAGAAAATTAGTGAACCTTTATTGGTGTCCGATAAGGACTCTGGAATAAATGAATGAGCTATAGGAGGGGCAGCAGCTGTAGGTTTAGGAATCCTCCACACAGAGGCGTGCGTTGGAGCCTCCGGGTGCAGAGACGCAGCGAGACCAGCTTGGTCTAAGGCTGTGTCCCCCACATGCTGCTCCCTGTCCTGCTCCCCACTGTCCGTGAAGGGTGCAGGTGATGAACGCAGACCAGATACCGGGGCTTGGGAGGTGCTTGAGAGAAAAATTAGGTGGAACAAGGTAAGCAAGAGAGAAGGCTTTATTGAAGCCTGTGCAACAGAGAAGAGTGAATTAAGTCCTTTGAAACAAAAGGCAGGAGAGCTTTAAAGCATGGGCTAGGATCATACACAAGCGCTGCGGGGGTGACGGGGAAGCAGCGCACTGTGCCGGGCATCCCGTGCCTGCTAACTAACTGTGCGGGCTTCTGCTTCCCGTTGGGGCTGAAAAAATGCTACGCTCCTTCCTGGGTGATGGCACATCCGGCGCATGGCTCCCGGGTGCTTGAGCGAAGCGCTCCTGGGTTGTAGAACTGGCAGGCAAGAGGCTGGGCAAGATTGACGTCTGAATGGAGCAGAGAAAGACGCTGCAGTTGAAAGTTTCCTAAAGCAAATCCTCTGGGAGAAGGGAGATTGGGCTAGGAAGGAGGAAGCTGCTTCAGGCGTGGTCAGGTTGAGGGCAGTGTCCATCCACCTTGGTCAGGCGGTGCAGTCTCAGGAGGGCGTGCTGTTAAGATGGGCTGGAGGGAATGAGAGACCCAGGGGAAGGGCCCATGGTAAACCTTTGGTTCCAGCGGTGTTGAGCGCCGGTCTGTATGATGTACTATTGGGGCCGTGCTTGGAAGAGTCTGGTGACAAAGGAACCATGGGAGCTCAGATTGCGGGCCCACTCCCTCCTGAACACAGCCCGGACCCCCCCGCCCCTCCCAGCCAGGTCATCCTGAGAGCCCTCTGGCCCCTGCCGCTTTCATCCTCAGCCCAAATCAACGTGGAGGCAACTGTGCCTTCTTTATCCAGGCACGTGGGACATTATTATCCCCTCCCCCTCTGGCCGGGCTGGGGGTGGGAGGGGAGAGGAAAGAACACAGCCGGAAGTGCAGGGTGCTTTACGTTTGTAGCACCCACCGGAAGCAGTCCAGGGCTTGCAGATGCTGGGGCGTGCGGGTACTTTATCCCCTTCCTTGAGAGGCTGTGAGTGGTTTCAGAATAACCACCGGGCCAGGGCAAATGTGTACTCTTCCTTAGATTTTGAGTTATTGATCTGCTGTTGGTAAGATATGTAAACACTGCTTTTAAAACATGAAGTCAACTGATCATACTCTCTCCCTTTGCTAGATAAAGCTCTTTTGGAGTAAACCTAAGGCTGAGCCCTCGGAGAAAGTCTCTCTGAGGATCTCTGTAACGCAGCCTGACTCCATAGTTGGGATTGCAGCCGTTGACAAAAGTGTGAATCTGATGCATCGCTCAAATGATATTACAATGGAAAATGTGAGTTTGTTTTTTTCATTACAGAGATAAATGTTAGAAGAGGGAAGTGCGATTGCATTTGTTTAAGTGTATAAAGGAAACTCACTAGTTTCTGTGCATTTATAAGCCCCTAATCAGGAAAGCCTCCAAATGAAAAGGAATCTGTGTACAGGTGCTGTCTTGGAAAGAAGCTTCTGTGGTTAGGTTGTGGCTTTTCTGCCTCACAGAAGAAAAACCACCTTGGGTTAAACAGCAGGACTGATCTCTGCAGAGCAATTCTATACCATTGAGTTTATTCTGAATAATAATGTAAAATCTCTAAAAGGGTAATTTATAAATATTCTGATGCAAAAAAGGTGAACATTTGAGATGACATACATTAATTAGCTTGACTTAATCACTTTTTAAAATTTTATTTTATTTTTTGGACTTAATCATTTTTTAAAAGTTAAGTTTATTAATATATTTTAGATACACATAATGATCACTTTCATCATAAGGAATTTGTACCTGTACATGATACATCTTTAAAATTTTTTTTTTTATTTTAGAGAGAATAATAAAAAAAGAACAACTGGGCATGGTGGTGCATGCCTGTAATCCCAGCACTTGGGAGGCTGAGGCAGGAGGATTGTTGTGAGTTTGAGACCAGCCTGGGCTACAACATAAGCTCAAGGCCAGCCAGAACTGTGTAGCGATACCCTGTCTCAAAAAGACAAAAAAAAAAAAAAAAAAGAAGAAGAAGAACAATAGCAAAATACCAACAACATAGACAAAAGCAAAACAAAGCAAAAACAATAAAAACAATACAGGGAGGGGCTGGGGGTTTAGCTCAGCAGCACAGTGCATGCCTGGCAAGTGCAAGGTCGTGAGTTCTATTCACGGTACCGAAAGAAAAAACAACAACAAAAACCCCAAAAACCAAATAACACCAACAACAGCAACAAAGAAAACTACAGGGTTTCAGAACAAAATGATAGGAATTAACAGTGGTTGTTATATTACATATTGTTATTGTCAACAAAGTTACTCAGATTACCAGGTGTAAGAACGGAAGATTGTTCAAATCATTAAAGAGAATAAACATAGGTGTACATATATCGCTGTGGTATGATGCTTTTTTTTTGTACCAGGAATCAAACTCAGGACCTTGCATTTACCAGGCAGGTGCTTGTGCTGCTGAGCTATATCCCTGGCCCACTATGATGCTTTTTAATTCTTTCCAGAAGATACCAAGAAGGAGAATAGCTGGGTCAAATGAGACCTCTAGTCCTAGTGTTTTGAGGAATCTCCACACTTACCTCCATAGTGGTTGCCCCAGTCTACACTCCCAACAGTGGAGAAGGGTTCCTTTTTCCCCACAGCCTCTCCAGCATTTGTTGTTGGTTGATTTCTTGATAATAGCCATTCTTTTTGGAGTGAGATGGACTCTCAGTGTTATTTTACTTTGCATCCCTCAGCCACCTTATCTTTGTTTTTTTTTTTTATTTTAAAGAGAATAATGAATAATAAAAAATTAGAAATGATACAGAATTTCATTAAACAAGGTGATAGGAATTCAACAATGGTTGTTATATCACATTTTGTTGTCTTCAAATTAGTTGTTCAGATTACCAGATATAAGCATGCAAAATTGGTAAACAAAAATTAAAAAGAAAAAAAAATTTATGCATTGAGTGTTCCTTTCAATAGAGCAGTAGAAAGCAGCAGTACAATTATCCCAGCTATCCTGTGTGTATACATACATATTTTTTTCCATTCCTTCTTTCTTTCTTTTCTCCTTTCTCTCATCCTAGTTGTTCTTTCTCTTTGAGCAGTTTCTTTCCCTTTCACAGTACCTATTGTACCTTTCAGATTTTATTTATTCTTTCAGGTTCTTTTTTTTTTT